TGGACTTAGATAGAAATAAAAAGGATTTGAAAAGTTTAAAGAAAATTGATTCTTTCGGAGAGGAATAAAAAAAGAAAAAAAGAATTGGACCTTTTTTTAATTATTAATGAAACTAATGAACAATATTAATGAGCGAAGGTTGTGTTCCCGCTATGAGTACCATGATTGGTATGTGAGCGTCGGGTGAATCCCGAGTGTTGGTTGGACCGTGAGTATGGCTTGAGAAAGAAGGATCGATACCCGAGTTTGGTTGAATGTGATTAAACATGTCATCATGTGTATCATGTGCATTGCGGGTGAAAATAAATTGAGAAAAATCATTGAGTCTTGAATTGACACGGTTTGATAATCGAATTGAGTGGAATGGGTAATAGCAAGGAATCCATAGTGCGAGCTCTATTTACTAACACCGTTAAGAAATAGATAATTCTGCTAACTCGGATGCTATAACGAGGGATAATTTCGTTGCAAGCAATAGGTGATATTGAGATCCTTAAGAAAAAGTAATAGAGCGAGTAGGTGATAACACAATCACCGAGAGATTGGGCGCACGGACTTGCATATACCTGGGATACCCGGATTAAAATGGATGAAAATATGGGAAACACAATAGCATTGCATATCACGTGCATCACCTTACTTACCGAGTCGGCTCATTCCGTTATTGTATTTGTATGTTGTTCGAGCAAGGAAAAAGTTAAGCTCGATCGAGGATGCTATTGGTTCTCGCTAAAAGAGGCTCATATGTCACTCATAAAAATAGGAATATTTTTTGTGTCATTAAAAAGGGGTACGGGCCTAATATGTAAATTTTTAGGCATTTTGAGTATTTTATAAATTATAGAACTATCCGTAATAATGTTTGTAAATTATATCATACGTTACCCATTGTTTAGTTATCTTTGTATTTTGTTGTGTATGATGGAGGAAGTAAGGGACTTAGTCCCAATAGTGTGTCGCGCCGGTCACGCTTGTTAGTTAATAAGCGAGGGAGCCGGGGCATCACAATACATGTTGTTATCTTATGGTGAATATTTATAATATGAATGGATTAATATATGAGTCAAAGATCAACGATTGAACCAAAATGGAAGACTAACCTTAAACCAAGGCTTTTATTGCTATTATTATCTCTCTATTTACTTTTCTTTACCTTTACTAATCTCAACTAACAAAAACCTCATATTTTTCCTTTACTTTAAAACAATCGAAAGATAGAGAACATTGATTGAACCGTTTCTCTATGAGATCAACCCTGACTTGCCTTAACTACGGTTTTATGATTGCATTCGGTAAGGAAAATAAAGAATTAAATTTGTTGACGAGTATGACACATCATCAAGAATATAGGATCAAAAGTACGTATTTCTATTTTGTTACTTTGTAAAACACCAATATCAACATCTCTATTTTTAATGAATAAATATTTGATAGAGTAGGATATTTGTGAAAAGGAACATGAAGCAAGAATGATCCGATGCTCAAGGTTTTAGGTTGTAAAAGAAACAATAAAGAAAATGATTCCATCCGGAGTCGTTTACGTTATTCGAAACATGACATGGCGTTTCATTTTAGATGGATGAAATTTTACTAATTTCATCTTAAGAAACCAAAACCCAACAAAATAATGTAAGCCATAGCAAGAGGAAAAAAATTACAAAAGTTAGTGGCCATGTGTGATTTGAAAAATGAATAATGTTTAATCTACATAAACTAGCTAGACGAGTAAGAAAAGTGTAATTTGTTTTCCATTTTCAACTCTATGAACACCATAAATTAGGAAAGCATAAACACTATTAGGATACAAAGTTGGAATTTAAAATAAATTAAAATAAACCTCATACCCTCTATGGCAAACCTCTACCTCATCTTTCATGGAATTTGGCCACAAATCCAATTCAATTACTCATACGCCTTTCTTCAAAGCCTTTATAATAGGTTCAACGTTGTTGTTCTTAACTATATTTGTGTTAAAGGATGAAGGAAGAGGAAGATAGTAGTTGATTTTCCGTTAGGCGACTAGTATTTGGTGGGAAGGATTTTTTGGGAAGATTAACGAGTGGATCCTTTCTATTGATTTTTCATGTTACTCGTCTATGTGGCATTTAAAGTCTAACTATCATGCTTTGTCACCTATTAGGTTAACATTGCTCGAAAGTTTGGTCAAAAAATCAGATATATGCTAATATTGTTATTTGATACTTAGTTGGTGACCTTTCTATCCAAAGTTAAAAGTCTAAATTCTATGTGATGCTTGACTATTTCTTATTTTTATTTACCTATAAATGCTATTATTTATGTGGTCATAATAAATTTTGAATGATCTAGCAAATTTGAATTGCACAATTTGGATTTAATCGAAAACAAACCAATTCGAGGTTTTTAAAGATATTTGACATATTAGACAAAATGCTAAATCTATTTTTGTGTTTATGAATGTGGAGGTTTTGAGGTGTGGAGGTTTATAGTTTAAATTCTTTTATTTTTCCGATTATTATTATTATTATTAGAACTTTAGTTTTTTTTTTAAATTAGTTTTTGAATTTTTAATTTGAGTTTTGACCTTCTTGAACTTTTTTTTTTAGATTTAGTCCAGTCCTTCAATTTTTTTTTTATCATTTATCCTAAAAAAAATAATTATATAAATATTTTCATAATAGAAATCATTCCGTGAGATTTGAGGGGTGTTTGATAATCTATTTAAGTAGCTTAAAAAATTAAGTTATAGTATTTAATATAAAAAGTTTATTTGATAATTTAACTAATCTCATATTAAAAATTTAAGTTCATTCAAAATCTACTTAATTAGATAAATTAAAATTTTTAACTTAAAATTTTTTTATTAACACCTTCGATTGAAAGATTTTTAAAATTTTTTAAATATGACAATATAGCCCATCATAAACACCAATAAAACCCTAATCCTAACCACACACAACCTCACTTTCTTTCCACACTTACGAAGGAGACGAGACCACCCCTTCGCATACCAACAAGAGCACCAAAATGGGTCGGGTTTGATTTTGAAGATGATGGTACTTCATCTATTAAGAAATGGAAAAGGCGAGAAAAAATCCTGCCGATTAATTGATCAAGGAACGATTCATCGTTGCTTTCCATGGGATAGGGGATCAATCCGGATTTGATTTGGGCTCGACCTCAATGTTGAGCCACCGAGTTGCTAATGATGATAAAAGAATAGATCTAGTATGTAGTGATGGGAGACAGAGTGCGAGAAGATAATGTTGATGCCCACATAAGGCGACGACATTCCAAGGTGACTCAATGGTTTGGGACCCCCGAGCTTAAATCGGTTGCAAGAGAACAAATTGATATGTCAAGAAAATTGCATGAATGATGATTTTGACGTGAAACATTGGGGAGAGACGAGCTCGATGGACTCTTAAGTACAAGCTTATTATGAATAATTTTTCGAAGCGATTTAAATACCATTATGCCTTTCCCTAAATGCCGATGTGTTTTATTCTTTAATGCCCCGAATATGTTAATTCTCAATTGAATGAGTTAGTTAAATTTATTACGGGAAACTATAATTTTGTGTGTTTACCTTCAAATTTTAGTACTTATATTTTATCTCTTGAACCAATAAAATTGAATGGACATGCTTGCTTCTTTTGGTATCACCGATTTTCATGGGCTTGTTCGAGTTGACCCAATTGTTGTATCCGTTACACGGTTCGGAGTTTAGAAGAGGTGGTACTAGTGGATTTGCAAGGATAGGTTAATAATAATTATTTAATTAGTAGGTCTATTATTTGATTAAAATTATAAGGTTAAAATTATCAAGTATATAATTTTAATATGTTCAATTACGGTATTTATCAAACAACTTTATTATATTTAGTATTTAGTTTTCAATAAATACTAAACGACTTTCAAGAAATATATTAAGTACTTAATTATTTAACATTTAAAACTCAATACTTAACAATTCAATACTTAATTTTCCGTTTTATCAAACATCACTTTTTTAGAGTTCCCAAAAAATTTAGAATCATCCTAGGCTATTTTCTATATTATTATTATTATTATTATTATTATTATTATTCGATGTTGATTGGCTATGTAACATATAATTTTCTTATTTTTCTAAATAAAGTTCTTAAGCAACCGTTGGTCGATAATTAAGTTAGCAATAGTCTAATATTTTTTCTTTTTCTTATGGTGAGAAAGTAAAATCAATCAAATAGGCTAAGGATCTTGTATATGCTAATTAATTTTTATGGAGCTATCTAATATGTAAATTTGTATTTTTGGGTATTTATTTGAGTGATGTTAGTTTAGATCATTTTAAATAGAGTAGAATTGAGACTTGAAATCGACTTTGTTCCAATGAAAAGGTTTTTTCTTATTTCTTATTTATTTATTTATTTTTATTATAATTATTACTATCTTTGTTATTTTGTTAAACTTTAATTTTATTTTCTATGTGCCACTAATTTTATTTTCTTGCAAATTGGATCCTAGATCAGTCATGAGTTTTGGGTTCCAATTATTTTTTTCCTTTTCTAAATATTATTCACCAAAAGAGTATTTATTTCAATAAAAAATATAATAGATAATTGATTTTTTTTTTGAAAACTTCAATTTTTATGAATTAATTTGAATTAAAATTTTAAAAATGTTATTTTAATAAAATTTGATTTTATCAAAATAAGATTTTTAGCAGTTATACTGAGATTTTAAAACTTGTAAAATAATAACTCCAAACTATAATATGATCATAATTAGTAAGTCAATTTGTATATTAATTATCTTCTAATATTCCGCATAATAGACTTATATTAGACTAATGAATGAAACGCGTGGATGTGGAAGTGCTTATATAGAATTGATGAAATTATCTTCAAGTTTTAAAAATTTATGTGCATTAAATAATAGATTTAATTATAAAATAAATATTAAATACTTGAATTTATTACACATTCGCTCGCTATTGGGTCGATCCGCAACACGGGAGAGAGGAAGGCGAAAAGAGTATGAGCTCTTCTTCTTCTTCTTCACCGCAGCGTACTAGGGGTGGCAATAGTAATAAGGGTGGTGGAGGAGAGGATCAAAGGCCAAGATTCTTTGATAAATTGGTGAAAAAAGAGTGCTGGGCAAAAGCTGAAACAGTACCTGGTCGACATCCAGAGAGATGGCGCAAAGACGCTGCTGGCAACATTGTTTGCAAGCGCTTTTGCAACTGCCATGGCTGTCTTTGTTTCGAATACGATCACATCCTTCCCTTCTCTAAAGGTCTTCTTTCCATTGTTTGCCCTTTCTCTAATTTTTTGTATATACATATTTTTTTTTTAGCTGCTGGAGTAGTTATTATATTTATTAAAATGGATTCATTGGTGGTTTTTGCCTTTTCAACTAGTATTTTATTTTAATGATGTTTATAAAATATTATATTTTTTTCATAAAAAATGGGCACCATTATACACTCAAGGCCAAGGGATCCCGACTGACTAAATCCTAATGCAATACTAATATTCAGTTTCGAATATGAACATACGTTAATTTAATTTATTATTATTATTATTATTAATTTTTACATTATCAGTATTTCTCCAAAAAGAGAAGCTTATTGGTTTTGTTTTCTGTAGGTGGTGAATCTACTGCAGATAATTGTCAAATACTTCAAACAAGGGTCAATAGGTTTAAATCAGACAAACAAGAGTTGGACGAAACTCAATTGAAAGGTTACTCTTGCGAAATCAAGTTCACTGGTATGAGGTTTTTTCCTCTTTGATTCTGTCACACTATTTTTTCTATGTTTCCCCTTTATCTTCCTATTTTCTTGGCTATGGATTTCAAAGAGTTTGCTTGTGACTAATGAACTAAATGTCTATGCCTTGGTTCATCTTGCATTCCTATTCGTCTTGGTATCAAACCGTTGTTTCATTTTGATCCAATTTTGCATCTAAACTGAAAGGATTTTAACAATCATCTATAATTTTGGATAAGAGTTAATAGAAACTGTTTTGGTATATTGCCCAAATTCATTTGTTCTTTAAGGTTGGTGGGGTTAAAAGTGATTGTGAAGGTGGTTTGGTTTCTAAAGCAGCTTCATAAATGCGAAGCTGACCAGTTTTCTTGATTCCCGATCAGCAGCTTGACTTGGATGCTCCCTAAACTTTGTTTGTCAAAGGAGATCAGTATGTTCTTCGTATAATCAGGTTTATCAACTTTATAAATTGTCAATCAACTTTAGGTTAATTTGGCTGGGGATTTCTAACACAAGTTGGGCTGAGGTCTGTATGAGTTTAGTTGTTTTCTGCATTACTTATCTCATTTACATAGACATTAATTTTATCAGTTTCCCACTGTCTAGTGATTGAAGGAGCACACTTTAGTTTGACAAATCTATCCAGTCATTATATTTCTTGGTATTCTTATTGGTATGAAAGAGTCGAGCAAGCGCATGAATAAATGGGGACAGGTTTCAGGAAGATGGGTTTGCTTTTATCTGTTCTCTTGACATCTTTTTTGTTGTTAGGCATAGACATGTCAGATTCATGCCATAATTTAGCGAAAACTAAAAATTTAGCTAGCTCTGGTTTCCCTTGGTAGATAATTGTTCCCTGTTCCTAAAATAAATAAATAAATAAATAAAAACAAAATATAAAAAGGACAAAAGCAAGCAAAAAGCATCAAAGAGCTTGTATTCCTGTGATAGTGGTCTCTTCAAAACAAGAGGTCAAGGGTTCTAATTCTAGCAGACTAGTTCTACTAAGAGCCTTGGGTGTGTGAGTTATAAAAAAAAGAAAAAGAAAAAAAAAGCGTATGGTACATTCATGAGTAGTTTATCTCTCTTTCAGTTTGGAATTGGAAAATGGAATGATTTATTATCTTTTGAAGTGATTGCAACGATGTTGGCTGTGATGCCACATCTCAGTTTATGAAAACTTCTGTTTCTTCTTATAGAATCCATCATTTGTTAACCATAATGAATGATCCCACGTGTTCCCTTCTTCCCCAATCCAGCAATCCATATGAATTTCTGTGCACATTAGACTTGAACTTTTTCAATGAATGATGTGTTGTTGGGAGTCCTCTTGTGCTGTATGTGTGTCTGAATAATATGAAACACTACAGGATATTAACTAGTCTATAACTTCTGGATGCTAGGCTTGTTTAACTTTGACTAAATCAAATATATTCCTTGAAATTAAGCATCATAGAGGGCATTACTGGTGTTGTAGCAGGAGCAGAGAGATGTCAAGCGCATGTTCCTGTAGTAGGAGTGTGTATTTATGCTTCTGGTAACATCATCCTGGTAGGACATTTTAACTGATGGCCTGTTTTTCAACCTTGTTCCCCATTTGGGTCACCCTTGTAACTCTCACCCCACCTCCCTTCTCACTTCCCAGTTTGAAAAGGCAGCTCTTGTGCTACTTGAAGACCCAAATCATTCACTTGACTGGTATCATGTTTGGTGCATTTTTTTTAAAAAATTTTTCCGAAATGGTTATCCCACCTTTTCCAATTGCAGACAAGGAGCTTGATATAATCGAAATGGCTGTTTATGGGGATGTCATCAGACCTGGAAACCAGTGTCGTTGCAGAACTATTGCTGAAATGCTTGGCCAATATAAGTCAAAAGACCGTGTGGCTGCTTGTAAATTGCCATTTAGCAACGAATCTTTGTAGCATACAAGGATTAAAATCTCGTTTTGGGACTCGGCGAAACAACTTTTTACTTGGATAATGGATTTGTTCTCGAAAATTTTTCATCAATGATTTTTGCACACACCATCTTGATATGCCATCTGTTGACCGGAACTGAATCACCTAGTAGATTTTGAATACTAAGGTACCTATAAATTGATCTTCAAAGATTTATGATTAGGGATTGGTTAAGTCGGTTGAGAGATAACAATTACCTAATGACGTCTTACCAAAGGTAGGATGCAGCATCTTCTTCTAACTTATAAGAAATTCATTATGCAAGTTATGCTATTTACTGAGTTGTTTAAGTCTATTGACTGTATTTGTCTATTAGATTTGAACTAACTGATTATCAAATTAAAGTAATTTTGGATTTAGACCTGAAAGGAGGCTTGATCATCACTTTTATCATTAACAGGCATTAAATTCGAAAGAGAGAAGAGTAAGACTAGACCCTACTTTAATTTGTTAAGATTGTCGCACATGATGCCTTGACGATCGATATAAAAAGAGTTTAAAATAAAGAAAAGGGGTCGTCATTTGGCTTAAAAGGAAGCCATAACACCTATGATTGGTTTGTATAGTTTTACGATGAGGAGGCTAGTTATACCGAATAAAAGATAATAATTACCCTTAAGTATCCTACTTGAGATAGGGTGTAATTAACATCCACATCACTCTATAAAGAATTCATTATTTTGGTCTTTATTTGCCGAATTGTTTAACCTATTAGGTGTGTTTGTTTAGGGTCAATGCTAACAATTCCTAAAGAAAGCAATTTTGGATCTAGGTTCGAGAAAGGAGCCTCAACCTAGTTTAAAACATACAAAATAATAATAATAATAATAAAGTTTTGAATACAAAGGGTAAGAAGTTTGTATGATATGATAAGTGAACATGCCGAAATAGCTTTACTCACACACTCAAAAGTATATGTGGGATCAAAAACCTATCCAGTTTGATCAAATTACAATAGAAATACAAAAGCAAACATATGATCATTTGGCAAGAAAAAGAATGAGCAAACAAAAAAAATGTATATACATAAGGTGGCTAGATAAACATGAGAGAAAATGATGATCACTCAAAATAAACTTTTTATTAAAAGCAATTATGAATGGATAATTATTTGACAATGAACTTGTATCATCAAATAGTCTTCTAATTTTTTAGGAAAATAAATCTAAAGTGTGAGAAGGTTGATAGCCATTCAATACCGAACTTGTTATAATAAAAGGTTATTCTAGAATAATCACTCTATAACGCGCTCATGTTGTCATGTGATCATCCAATTTCTCACATTAAGGCATAAGAACAAAGAATGAGAATAAAGTCAATCATTCAATAAAAAACTTATTATAAATAGTCGTTCTATGAAAACTACTTGATAATAAACATGTGTTATCAAATGATCTTCTAATTTCTCTTCCAAATAAATATAAGAAGAAAAAAGCATATAGATTCTCTTTTGTTTATTCATCAATTGGTACAAATGAAAGTCAACCAAAAGGGTTGAGTAAATAAGAAAAAACATGGGGACTCCGTCATTGGGATTATAGAGGCCTTAGTACTCGATTGGCATTCAAGGAAAGTAAATAAGCACATGACAAAGTAAACAAGTAACACATAAGGTAAAAAAAAAAAAAAAAAAAACACACACACACACACATACACAAAGTCCTAATTATCAAAATGTGGTCAAATTCGATTGAATTGCTACCCATTAAATTCATTTGCGTACCTCAAACCATACATGACTTGACTCGATAGCCATGCAAGTATATAAAGATATCTATTTTCATCATGCGAATACCATATTTTATAAGGGCTTTTCTTCAAAATATGTTATATTGTATAATAAACGACTTAAAAGCGGATTCAAGTATCAAAACATAAATTTTAAGCAACAAAGCATAAATAAACATGGAAAAAATAAATATAAATAATATGCAATGCAAATGAATAAAGAAAATAGCTAGATGAGAAAGATTTGTTGCAAAATAAACACATAAAAACAAATTAATATGTGACAAAATGTCTCCTGCCTAGCATTGCTAAAAGTTTCTAACCATCATTAGCCAAACTTTCAAGCCTTTTATCATATTTTTTTCCATGTTGTCTTTTTTTATATATTGGATTGAATATTATTTATTAGGATTGTTTTTATTTGTATGAACTTGGGCTAATTAATTAGTCATCATGGTTTATGGATTTCTAAAATAATTATGAATGGCCGAATATATAAGTTTATAGGGGGATTGGATCCTTGTGTGTCATGGATCCTTATTTTATTAATAGTCTTTATTTAATTATCATTCCATGTAATATGTGAATTTATATTTAATCGAGGTTGAATCAATTAAGTTCTAATTTAATATGGATTGAAAAAATTCCAATTTTTTTTATTAGAGGGAAGTCCAGATCTAGGAGAGAAAACTTAATGCTAGCCAAATCTATTAAGGTTTTAAGAGTAAGTATTTAAGCAAATTTTTTCTACACATTAGGGATTTTTTGTTGAAATTATTACTAAATGAAAATTGAGATTTTTCTCTACATCTTTACATAATTTCTTTGCTTAGAATAGATAGAACTTTGTAAAACATATTTTTAGAGTGATCAACTAAGATTGGCTTTTGATCAATCATCACTTCGAGATAGACTCTTGATGAATGTATCATGTAAGTATTATAATCTTTCTTTTGGATTTAGGTTCTATCTTCGAGAAGTTATTGTTTGCACTATTTATTTGGATTGAAGAATAAACTTGAATTTTCGAGGTTGAATAGTTTCAACCTAAAAGCTAATAACCAAGACTAAAGATTTTTTTGGTTTAAAATTTGGATAATATCTTTTATTAGGTGTGATTAACCATTTTTTACAATTTAATAAAAAATAAAAAATATTTGATAGGGTTTCTTCTTGCTTGAATATTGCTAGAATTTCATAATCTATCTTATGAAAAATTTTTGACGACTTAAAATTAAGACTTAGAAGTGTTAGATTGATCTTAAGTTTGGTATAAATAATATAATATATCTTATTTACATTATGTTAAAATTTTAGCTTATTCTAATATGTTTAGTTTGGGAATCGGTTTAACCCTAGCTAGCGATTCTTGAGGATTTTTTTGTGAAATCTTAAGGTTTGATTGTGTTTAAGGTTTGGGCTTATTTTCTTGTGATTTGTTTTGATCATTTGGAGTTTATTTGAGGTTGAATTGTTGTTGTAGTGTTTCAATCTAGGTGGATTGTTGTACTTTGCTTGTGTTTATATGTTTGAGTTTCCACAAGGTTTAAGCATCTTCTCAATTTGAAATCAGTTTGATATTAGAATTATGGTTTGCTTTTATTAGTGCATTGGCCAATTATGAAAATGGTTGTTAAAAAAGTATTGAGTGTAGACATGGTCGTTGAAGAAGATTGGGTGAGTATAATATTTTTCACATCTTGTTATGCATTACATTGATAAGTTATGTTAATTGATAATCGATGGAGGTAGGCTGTGAGAATATGGTATCTTTATGAATGGTGGAGAAGCTAAATTTGATAACGATAGGTCATCCCATCCTTATTTATTAATTTGGTTACAAAAAAGGAATGAGATTCGTATGTCAAATGTCATTTTTCATTAGTAAGAATGATGCCGATAAGGTATGGTGTGATGTTGTACCTATAGTTGCTTGTCACTTGTTACTATGGAGACCTTGGTAGTATGATCGTAGAGTCTTGTATGATGGATTTATAAATACCTATGCTTTTACTTTTAATGCGATGAAAATCACATTGATGCTATTGAAAAGAAGGTCTCACCGGTTATATTACTACATAGAAGGGGATTGTTTCTAAATCTATATTCATGAAAGTGGTGGAGGAGTTGAAGTCAATATGGGTACTTGTCGTTATGGAGGAGAATAAAGAGTATGATGTTATTGTCAAGGTTGTCAAACCATTATTAGAGTAGTTTGTTGATGTGATGCGTAAAGAGATTCCTAGAGGATTGCCTCCCATACAAGATATTCAATATATGCTATTGCTTTGTTTGAGGATCTATTATTCCATATAGATCTACTTATAACATGAGTTCGCATGAGTATAAAGAGTTACCGCAACATGTTATAAAGTTGATGAAAAAGCGATCATCAATTAGAGTGTGAGTTCATGTGCATTTCTAACCTTTTTAGTGTCCCAAAAAGATGAAATATAAAGGATGTATATTGATAGTCAAGCCATCATCAAAGCTATAGTGAAGTATCAATTCTCCGTTATAAGACGTAATGACTTACTTAATTAGTTGTATGGTTCTACAATCTTTACAAAGATTGACTTAAGGAACAACTATCATTAGATTTGGATAACTCTTAGTGATGAGTGGAAGGCTATTTTCAAAACAAGTGATGAACTTTATAAGTGGATGGTTATGTTTTTGGGTTATGAAACACGTCTAGTGCCTTTATGCGATTGATGAATCAAGTATTTAGGTCACTTATTGGTAAATTTATTATCATATATTTTATGATATCTTGATATATAACCACGATGTTGAGGAACATCTTGAGCATCTTCGGTAGGTGATGGAATTGTTGAGAGGGCAAAAGGATTATACTAAAATTAAAAAAAAAATGCCATTTGAAGTAATAAAGTTATCTTCTTAGACTTTGTTATTTCGGGTAGTGGGTTTGATATGGACAAGGGAAAGATTAAGGCTATTCTTTATCGGTAGTGCCAAAGGTTGTGATTCGGGTGAGGAGATTCTAGGGTATTATTTCTATTTATCACAAGTCTATTCATGGGTTTAGTACCATTACAACACTTATCATTGAGTTGTTAAAGAAAAGAAAGTTTGAATGGACACTAAAGGCTCAAACTAGGTTTGAAGCTTTAAAGAAGAAGGTGGTTGTAATAGTCGGTATCCGATGAAATTGAAATTAAATAAAAATTTAATATTAAACACAAGGGAAACATATTTTAAGGGTGTGAAATAAT